ATTTTAGGAGATTCATACGTGCACACATCATACTTTGATCATTTTCACTCTCTAGCACCTCTTTGCCCTGTCCTCCCTGCCTGGTTTCACATTTTGGGGGGACTTCAATGTATACAATATATTTTACTTATGTCATCCCCCTATTACCCACTTTTACATCCCTCTCCCTCCCTTTTATTTCCTTTCTCTTGTGTAGTAATCTCCTCCCTTCTACTTTCTTGTCATCCTTTTTAGAGTCCATATAATAGGGAGTTCATGCAATATTTGTCTTTCTGAGTCACGCTTGTTTGGTTCAGTCTGATGGTCTCAAGATTCATCCATTTGCTTGCAAGTGACAGAATTTCATTCTTTCTTGTGGCTGACCAATACTCTCATGTGTGTACATATCACATTTTCTTCACTCATCTGTTGATGGGCATCTAGGCTGGTTCCAGAGCTTGGCTAGTACAAATTGTGCTGCCATAAACATGAGTATGCAAGTATCCTCAGTATGCTGGCTTTAATTGCTTTGGATATATATCAAGGAGTAGTATAGCTGGATCAAGTGGTACCTCTATTTTTAGTTTTTTTTTTTGAGGAATCTCCATACTGATTTTCATAGTGATTGTACTAATTCACATTCTCACCAGAGGTATAGAAGGGTTCCTCCCTCTTTTTTCCATCATTGCCAACATATTGTTTTTTGTATTCTTGGAGACAGCCATTCTGATTGGGGTGATTTGCATTTCCCTAATGACTGTAGATATTGAACATTTTCTAATATATTTATTGGCCATTTATATTTCTTTTGAGAAGTGTCTGTCCAATTCATTTGCCCTTTTATTAATTGGGCTACTGTATTTGATTTTTAGTGTTTTTTAGTTCTTTATATATTCTAGATATTGGGCCGGGGATATAGCTCAGTGGCACAGCACCTGCCCAGAAAGTGCGAGGTCATGTGTTTGATTCCCAGTCCCAGAAAACAATATATATATATGTGTATATGTATATATATATTCTAGATATTAATTCTGTTGGAAGAGTAGCTGGTAAAGTCCACCCTACCCCCATTCTATAGGGTCTCTTCATTCTGTTGTTTCCCTTCCTGTGCAGAAACTTTAATCTGATATAATCCCATTTATTCATTGTTGCTATTATTTCCTGTGCTATTAGAATCCTACTCAGGAAGTCTTTGTCTGTGTCTCTGGCTTCAAGTGTTTCCTCTGTGTTTTCTTTTAGCAGTCTCCAGGTTTCCAGGCTTACAGTTAGGTCTCTGACCCATTTTTAAATAATTTTTTTATACACTATGAGAAATAGAGATCTAGTTTAAATTTTCTACAAGTAGATATCTGCTTTGCCAGCATCATTTGTTATAGGGGCTGTCTTTTTGCCAATGTATATTTTTGGCTCATTTTTCCAGAATCAGATGGCCATTCATAGTTGCATGAGTTTGGTTCTGTGTCCTCTATCCTGTTCCATTAGTCTGTGCGGCTATTTTTGTGCCTGTACCATGGTGTTTTTATTACTGTGGCTTTGTAGTGTAATTTGAAGTTAGATATTGTGTTACCTCCAAGTCTTGTTCTTTTTGCTTCAGGATTTCTTTAGCTATTCTGGGGCTTTTGTGTTTCCATATGAATTTTAGGATTTTTTTCTAGTTCTGTGAAGAACGTCATTGGTATTTTGATGCATGTTGCATTGAGTCATGAAATCACTTTTGGTAATCACTTTTGACAGTTATTCTGTCAACCCATGAATAGAGGAGGTCTTTTTATCTTTGAGGGTCTTCTTTAATTTCTTCAGTATTTTGAAGTTTTAATTGTAGATGTCTTTCACCTTCTTGGTTAGATTGATGCCTAAGAGATTTATTTTATTTGAAACTATTGTGAATAGAGTTGTTTTCCTGATTTCTTTCTAAGCTAATCCATTTTTTGTGTATAGTATTGATTTTTAATGTTAATTTTATATCCTGAAGTGTTGCTGAGTTCATTTATCTACCCTGAAGGTCTTTTACTAGATTCTTTAGGGTCTTCTAAGTATAGAACTATATCATCTGCAAACAAGGATAACTTGACTTCTTTTTTTCCTATTTGATTCCTTTTTATTTTTATTCTTGCCTAATTATTGTAGTTAAAATTTCAAGAATTATATTGAATGCAACTGATGAGAGTGGATGTCCTTGCCTTGTTCCTGATGAGATTGTTTTTCTAAATTTTCCTTGAGAAAAGGTTTTAAGTGCTAACATAGTCCCTCTAGATTGATGTATTACAGTTATTGTTAGTACACAATCTATCAAAACCACACGAATGCATTACAAATTTTTATAAGTACTTATAAAGCATAAAGAATACAATTTTATTGGAAATGCATGCTTTTATGAGCTACATGGGACTATTCATTTACACACATATAAATATTACTTATTGCTAGATATAAGCAACGTTTAGCATAAATTGTTTCTGTTTTACATTTTTATAGATGTAAATGCTGTGAAAACTTGACATAAATTATAAATGGGAATAGGAATTTCTTTATTACAGCTCTGTCAATCAAGTCTATGAATTCCTTCCAAGTAATATGCCAAAATTATGTAGTGATTTATTATAAAATTATTTTTCATCTCTTGTTGACTATTAACTTGACTAAGTCTTTCTTCAGTGTTATTGAAACCAGAATTGGAATGTCTTACTTTTAAAAAAGATTTGTTAAAACAGTCATTAGGAGTCATGTACTTTCTCAATTTCTGAGAATAAAACCAAAAACACCTTTACTAAAGTTTATCAAGCCCAGCATGGTGGTGCATGCCTGTAATCCCAGCACTTGGGAGGCTGAGGCAGGAGGATCGTTGCAAGTTTGAGACTAGCCTGGGCTACAAGTGAGCTCAAGGCCAGCCTGAACCACATAGTGAGACCCTGTCTCAAAAAGACATAAATAAATAAATAAAGTTTATCAAATAATTATTAACCTGTTATGCTTTAATGAAACCTAGTATAGTCAGATCCTCTGGGGAAAATAAAGATATTAATTGAAATATACACTATACTTTTTAGCAAATGATTTTATTATAGATATATTTTAAATATATTTTCATCAACTCATTAAAGTACATTTAGTTCATTCATTTTTTGGAAAATATAACCTAGTTAACAAAACCAACCCTTACTATGAAAAGAGTCAGCCACAATATAACCCAATTTTCAGTATAATTAATATGTACTAATATGAAAAAACCTAGTCAGATTTAAAACCCCTCCCAAAATGTATCATTTACTCAAAGAAATGTAAAAATAAATCTTCACACTCCTGAAATTTTTTCCTACGATGGGTAGCTCAGCCTTGGAACTTTGTAATGAGTTTACATTGATAGCCGTGATAATAGCCCTGATCCTGGGTTTTTGTTGCTTTGCTTTCAGGGGGCTCTTAGGCATTCTTTGACAATAGTTAGGAGGTAAAAAGCACAAGAACATTAAATAAAATTTGTCACCTGTCATGCTACCCCATACCATACAAGGTGTATCTGAATACTAAACATTCTGGGTGTGGACCAAAATACTGTGTGGCTGCTTATGCTGTACTTTGCCCTTGCAAGAATATGTGTGAGAGAAGGTGCTTTGGGTTTTTTTGACTTGATTGAAGGAGGCCGCCCTGATGTATGTGTGTACAGGCGTGTATTTTTTTAACTGTTGTTTTGGTGACTTAGAGGTTCTTATGTTTTAGAAAGATGCACAATAATAAATTTGATGAAAGATACGTGTTTCTTCTCTAAAGTGAGGGGAAATCAATTATGAGTAGGGAGGGGAAAGAACTAACCTGATGCCTCTAGACAGTTGCATTCTAAGGCAGATGAGCTTTTGGCAAGAATGTGTGAAGATGTGGATTTGGAATTTGATTCCTTTAACACGGGGCTGTGCCCACCTAGTCCCTGGGAAGTCTTTTCATGCTCCTGATAGTGTGCATACACAAGTTTGAAAAATACTTTTCCTATACTACTTCTTATTGTATACAATAATATGCTGACCTGGGCTACACAGTGACGTCAAGTCCAGCCTGAACTGCATAGCGAGACCCTGTCTCAAAAAGACGAAACGATGATGATGATGATGATGATGATGATGATGATGATGATGATGATGATGATATGCTGACGTAGAGCTGCTACTAATACTTTTAGAGTTAGGCTTTGTTTTATGGTGCTGAGATTGAACCCATGGCCTCACACATGCTAAATAAACATTCTACCCCTGTGCTACGCCCCAGACTCTAAACTTTTTAGAGTTGGTACTGATCATAACTAATATAGGAAGGCAAAGATTATTGAATTAATAAATATATACAAGAACTATAAATACAGAATTGAAAAACTAAGCACTGAATAAGGTTTGCAGTTGAATTAGCACTGACACACCAGTGTGCTTCCTGGTTTTGATACATGACAGCTTTACAGGATGTCAACACTGGGGAAGGGTACACAGGACTCTACTATTTTTACGACTTATTTTTAAATTTTACAGTTTATTTTCACTGGTTATTTTTCCTTTTATGTCTAAATTAAACTTTAAAAATTATGTTTCTTATCAAAGAATTATACATTTCCAATTAGAAATTCTTAGAACACATGAAATTTGTACTACAGTAATAAAGTTCTTTAAATATTAATTTGAATAATTATAATTGTCATTCATGCCTTGCTAAAATTTCATTTGAATAATTTCCACATTTCCAAACTTGATTTTCTGTATCATACCTACTGCTATGTTGTACTTCATTTTTAAAAAGTGTTTTAAATAATAAAGCTATAATAGAATTGTTGACAATGGGAAAAGGGCTAGAATTTTGGCTGTATTTTGAAATCATTCTGAACTTACCAAACACTATGTGATTTATACTCATAGATTACCACTGGCAGGTGATGTATATTTAGTGGACAGAATGATCTTTTGAAGGAATTAAACTCACAAATTAAGAACTAATATAAAATCTTACTGTTTTTTGCCAAAATAAAATCTCAGCTTTATCGTTGACAGAAAACGCTTCCAAGGCAAGACTGAAGGAAGACCAGTGCCAAGACATTGAGCCGCCTGTGGAAACCATGTTGTCCCAGGATGCTCTGCTGTTGGAGGAGAATGCTTGGAAATCAACAGACGTAAGTCCCTGCTCTGGTTTTCTTTTGCTGTGTAACAAGTTGCGAACAAATTTTGTGCCATAAGACAATACCAGTTTGTTATCTTACACTTCTGGAGGTTAGAAGTCTGACCCCACCCACTGGCCTAAAATCAGTGCCTGCTGGGCTTTGCTCCTCCCTGGAACACATCTGTTTCCTAGCTGCGTGTGTTCTTGGAGAAGCTGTGCTTGTCTTTTCGCACCACTTTTGGTGTTTTTTTTTTGTTATATTGGTTTAAAAATATGAATAAGATCAAATTATCAACTTTCTTTAGGATTTGTGCTTTTTAAAAATTTTAAAGAAATTCTTACCCTGTTGGAATAAAAATCTCTTACTTTTTTCTAAGTGTTGAGGTCCTATGCCTTCTAGTACATTGTACTATAAGATAGAGTTCTTATTTGTGCCCTAGAAATAGGCCATATTTAACTTATTGAGTAGCTCATCTTTCTCTACTCACTTTAAAAACCTTTTTTTATGAGATAATTGTAGAATTGCAGGTAGTTGTAAAAATAGTAGAGTCCTGTGTACCCTTCACCTAGGTTCCCCAGTGTTGACATCCTGTAAAGCCGTCATGTATCAAAATCAGGAAGCACACTGGTATGTCAGTGCTAATTCAACTGCAAACCTTATTCAGTGCTTAGTTTTTCAATTCAGTATTTAGGGTTTTTTTTAAAGCTGCATTTGCATGTTTGTGTATGCAGTTCTGTGCAGTTTTATCACATAGACATTTGTGAGCCAGCCCCACACTCAGGATACGGAATTGTTCCATCTCCACAAAAGAAGTCCTTAATGCCACCCACTCGAACCCCACGCTTAATCTCACCCTCTGGCAATAACTATCCCTTCTCCACCTCTTTTGTATTTGGGTTATTGTTTCTAGAGTGTTGCACAAATGGAATCAGACAGTATAGACCTTCTGAGATTGTATTTTTCTTAGTGTAAAGCTTTTGAGTTCCATTCAGGGTGTTGTACTTAGCAGTAATTTTTTATTGCTGAGCAGCACCACATTATAAAGATGTACTAGAGTTGGTTCAACAATTTTCCTGATGAAAAATATTTGGTTATTTCTGACTTTTGACTTCTTCTGAATAAGACTACTGTGAATGTTCATGTACAGAGCTTTATAAAGTTTTCATATCTGTAGGATAGATGTCCAAAAATGCAATTGCCAGGCATGGTGGTGCACGCCTATAATTCCAGCACTCAGGAGGCTGAGGCGAGAGGATTGTTGCAAGTTTGAGACCAGCCTGGGCTACAAAGTGAGCTCAAAGCCAGCCTGAACTGCATAGCGAGACCCGGTCTCAAAAAGACAAACAAACAAACGCAATTGCTGGGTTGTATGCTAAGTTTTGTAAGAAACTCTCCAACTGATTTCCAAAGTGGCTACACCCTTTTATATTCCCATCACCGATGTATGCATGGTCCGGTTTCTCTGCATCCACACCAACTTTTGGTACAGTTATTACTCCTATTTTCATTTAAGTTGTTGTAATAGCTCGATAATGATAGTTCATTGTGGTTTTAATTTGCATTTCCCAAATGACCAATGATGTTGAACATCTTTTCATGTGTTTACTTGGGCCATTGTAAATTGTCTTTGGTGATATATGTATTCAGGTCTTTTGCCTATTTGAATTGATTTTTACCATTGAATTTTGTGAATTTGTCATATATTCTGGACACAAGTCCTTTGTTACATTGTGATCTGCATGTTTTCTTCCTATCTGTGGCTTTTCTTTTTAACAATATCTTTCACTAAAAAGTTTTAAATTTTGATTAAGCCTACTATTGCCAATTTTTCCTTTATGGATCATGCTTATCCTTCATTTGCAGAGTTTATGTCCTCTCATTTACCTCAGTGTAATAGTTTTAGAAGCCATGACCCTAGGCCATGATTGATGATTGCGTATTTTGGCTTCTTTTATAAACAAGGGATCCCAGTGTCTGAGCATAATTTCAAGCAGTGAGTCCATAGTCAGCACTCATGTCTTCAATGAATACTTTCATCTGTGTTTACCCCTCCAGAGTTGAGCTCCTTATTTTCTCTGTCTTTTTATGGACCCAGAACCCCAAAGGTCTACAACTTTATTATATGTTTCTATTCATGCTCTCCATGAAAGTGCTAGTCTTGCTTTTCAGCATTACTACATCTTTTTAATTTTCACATTTGTACTTTCTCTTTCATTACTTTGTGTTTGGAGAAGGGAGGTATCCTCAAAGCATGAACTTACAGAACCATAGAACCATTTTGACTAGACATCAGTTCTACCCATGACTATATGAAATTCTCATTCGTGTATGTGTGTGTGTGTGTCAAATTGTGTATTTCTCCCACTGGAAGGAAAGCGCCCTGAGAGAATATTTTTAGACTTATTCAATACTGAGTATTCAGTTGATAAATTTTTGTTAATGAAGAAGTGAATAACTAGCAGACATACATATATGCTGCCGTTTCTTCTTTTCCTTCTTTGGTCTCCTGCTCAGAATGCTTTTTCAGTGTTTCCTGCCATTATTCCTGTGGGGGAGATTGGGATTCTTTCTTGGCTCTCTCTTCCCGACCTAATTAGATACTAGATTCAGCTATTTTTATAGCAACTCAAAAAGGTACATAAACTTGAAATTTTACTGTTTCTTGTAAAATTGCTCACAGATTGAAAATGCATTGATTATTTTAAAAGATAAGCTATTAAGTCAAAATGATTTTTAAATTTGACATCAGGGTATTTGCTGCTGGCCTTTAGGTAGAAATAGACTTGAATAATCCTGTTTGCTTTGGGGCCAAAGATATAAAATGCCACCTAGATTTTTATATCCGTCTTTAAATCTTAATTATGCCACATGTTGTATCAGCTAGAAAAACATTTGACACAGTCCAATATGTCCTCTGCAATAGGCTGCTCATGTAGCAGAAGACAAGTTGAACTATAAACCTAATTGTTGTTGCAGTGTCCTGCATGAGAGATACCACATCCACATTGATTTTTTCATGTTCCTGACGCAGAACAAGAAGGAAATGATATTGATAATTGCTCAGGCAGAATGAGGATACTTAAAGATATCTTTTCAAAAATTTAAATAGAAATCTCTTTTAACTATTCTCTTTCTACAAATGAAAAAAAATGACCTTAAAAGCAGTGAATAAAATTCTTAACAGAATAGAGCTTTCAAAAAGCAGGACAGTGATGCTTTTAAAACTAAGTAAAGGCTTTACATTTATGACAGACATAAGTGTGTTTACTCTGTGTGTATTGTCCAGAATTTTTATTATTAAATTTGCTAATTAATAATGCTCTTTGTGGCTTCTAGCCACCTCAAAAGTCATCCTTCTCCTTTTTGAAGAGATTGAACAATAAGGTTGTGATTTTTTTTGGTCTCAGTTGTTTCCATAGCAACAGATAGGGATGCTGAGAAGTGGTTCACACAAAATTAAAGCTGACCAGATCTTCAGTCTAGTGCTGAGTTGCTAAATTGATAGCAATAGATGAGAAATGTTTATTTCCTTCTGTGTCTACTTACTATTTTGGTAAATGAAGAATATACAATTCCATCCTTGGGTTTATTTCCATGTCATTTATTATATTAGCAAAAATTTTAGCTCATCAAAGCTGTTCGAAAAGTAGAAATTATACTGATTCTTGGTTAATTCATCATTCCTCTGTCTCTTTGTGTCATTGTTTTATGCTTAAAAGTCCTCTTACTTTCACGTTTATATTTATTGTTGCTCTTTTTAGTAGTTCTAGGGACTTTTTCTTCTTTCTTCCCCAGTTCTCCCTCTTGCCCCTTCTCCCTCCATCCCTTCCTCCTCCTACCTTTTTCTTCCCCCTTCCTTCCTTTCTAGTGATGCTGGGGATTGAACTCAGGACTTCACCCATGCTAGCCAAGTGCCCTACTGTTGAGCTACAACCTCAGCCTTATTACTTCTTTTTAAATTAGAGAATACTTATTACAAAAAGTTCAAATGACATAAACTGTAAAGAATGAAGAGCTAAGTTTCTCCTTACTTCTCCATAGTCCTTGAGTTCCTCTCTCTGAAGGCAATTATTACTAGCAAAATTTTTTTGGGAGGACAAGGTCTCACTATGTAGTTTAAGCTTGCTGTAAATTCATTATGTAGCCCCTGGCCTCAAACTCATGGTGATCCCCCTGCCTCAACCTCCTGAGTGCTGGGATTACAGGTGTGTGCCACCATACCCATCTACTATGGCTAGCAATTTTAAATGAAATTTTTTTGGAAATTTCCTGTATCTACACATTTATTTTACCCAAATGGAATCATTCACTATATATTGTCCTACAGCTTCTTTAGAACTAAAGCAATATATCTTGGTTGTCTTCTTACATAACAAATATAATCATACATTTTACATTTTTTCAAAGTAAGCTTCTTTTAACTAAAGTATATATCATGAACACATCTGTTTATTTTTGTTTCTTTAATTAACTTTTTTAGTCATTCATTTTTGCAGTAGTGGAAATTGAACCCAAGGCCTTCACAGCCCCAGCCTTTTTTAAATTTTAAAATAGGGTCTTGCTAAGTCACTTAATTGCCCAGACTAAGCTTGAATTTGCAGTCCTCCTACCTCCGTCTTCCAGAGTGTGGGGGTTATAGGTATACACCTCTGCAGCTGGCATGAACACGTTTCTGTATCAGTACATATAGCTGTCATATTTTCTTCATGCGTAAATTAATTCATGCAATCATTCCCTATTGGTTTATCATCTTTCTTTCTCTTTCCTTCTTTCTTTCCCCTTCTCTCCCTTCTCTTTTTGCTTGTTTGTTTGTTTGTTTGTTTGGGGGACTGAACCCAAGACCTCATGTATGGGAACACTCATTGTACCACTGAGGCACATCTCCAGCACCCTTCTTATCAGTATCTAAGAGTTACTTGTCTATTGAAGAATTAACCCACTGTCTGGTTCTTTGTCTATTCATTTTCAGTTAATCATTTGATTTTATTTTATGGCACTTTTTATATGTCTTTAATTTTAATTTTAATTTTAATTTTTTTGACACAGGATCTTCCTCTGTAGCCCAGGCTGGCCTTGAACTCACAGCAGTTCTCCTGCCTCAGCCTGCTGAGTGCTGTGATTACAGGCGTATGCCACCCTACCTGACCTCCACTTTAAATTGTATGTGGTCAAATGCATCTGTCTTTCCTGTATGACTTCTACATTTCAAATATTCTTAGAAAGACTTTCCTTACTCTAAGACTTTATAAAAAGTCATCTTGGCTTTTTTCTTAAATGACTATGTTTGCGGTACCGGGAACAGAACTCACAACCTTGCACTTGCCAGGCAGGCGCTTTTGCCGCTGAGCTAAATCCCCAGCCCCTTAAATGACTATGTTTTAGGGGTGTGTTGGCACATGCCTGCAATACCAGCACTTGGGAGGCTGAGGCAGAAAGATCACTGTGAGTCCAAGGCCAGTCTGGACTACATAGTGAGTTCAAGGCCAGCCTGAACTATAGTAGACCCCGTCTCAGACAAGCAAATAAACAAATAGAAAGATTATGTTTTAGAGCCATTTTAGATTAACAGGGAAATTGAGCAGAGGGTGTATAGATTTCTCTTACACTCTTTCTTTCTGCACACACAGTCTCTCTCCCTACCAGCATCTTCTACCAGAATGGCACATTTGTTGGAGTCAGTGAGCCTACAGTGACACGTCACAATCATGTTCTGTGATTACATCAGGGTTCATTCTTGGTATGTCTGTTCTGTGGGTTTTGACAAATGTACAATGGATATGTACACATATCCACCTTTATAGCATTGTACAGAGTATTTTCACTGCCCTAAAAATCCTCCATACACCACCTATAAATCTGTCTTTCCCTACAACCCTTGGAAACCACTGATCCTTTTATTATCTCCATTATTTTCTCTTTTCCAGAATGTCATAGATTGGAATCACACAGTTTGTAGCCTTTCAGGTGGACTCCCTTTACTTAGTAATATGCATTTTAGTTTCTTCTATGTCTTTTTATGGATTAATGCCTGAGTTCAAGTAAATATTCCATTGTCTAGATGTGCAACAATTCATCCATTCACCTACTAAAGTTGCTTCCAAGTTTCAGCAATAATGAAGATCACTTCTATAAATATTTGTGTGCATAGTTTTGTGGGGACATAAGTTTTCCCCCTCATTTGGGTAAATACCAAGGCATACGTTTGCTGGACATATGGTAAGAGTATTGTGTTAGTCAGCTTTCTGTGAACACTGTGACAAAATACCTGGGAAAAACAGTTTAAAAGAGGAAAGGTTTATTTTGGCTTATGGTTCAGTGTTTTCGGTCTGTGGCTGGCTGGCTCCCTTGTTCCTGGGCCTTTGGCACGGCAATGCACTGTGGTGTAAGGGCCTGGCAGAGCAAAGCTGCTCACTTCATGGTGGCTAAAAGCAGAGCAAGGAGGGGCTGACACATAGGCCGTCTTCCCAGGGCATGCCCCACGTGATCTCCTTCCTCCAAACAGGCTCTGTGTCCTGGTTTCCACCACTTCCCAAGAGTCCATTCAGCTATGAACCCATCAGTGAAATCAGAAGCCTCATGGTCCAGTCACATCCCCCAAAGCCCCTCCTCTGAACACTGCCACCTGGGTACCAACGCTTCCACACAGGAGCCTCCGGGGGCCACTTAAGGCCCAACCCATAGCAGTATCTTCAGTTTTGGGAAAAATAATGACTTTTTTGCTTTAATTTAAAACAATATATATATAAAGCTTACCTACCAAGAATTTGCTTTGATGGATAGCATTAGATACCAATTTTTGAAAATTTTACTTTTTACAAAAGATGATCATTTACCTCAATATAATTTTTTTAACAGTGCAGCTTTTTCTTTTTTCATTTGTGGCTTTTATCACATAGTAAATTTCCATTTATATTTGATTCTATTCCTGGACTTTCCATTTGCTTATATTGAAGAATTAACATGTAGGATAAACCATAACATTAAAATATGTTAACTGTAGTGGGATGTAAGGAATAAGGTGGGGAAGAGGGGTAGAAACTAAATTTCACTAAGTGTACCTTATTTTTAGATGTGTCCTTGGAAATCAGGAAAGATTTTATAGAATTACAAAACCAAAAAAAACCTAAAATAAAGTTAAATGTACTCGTTTTGTTCTGAGATGTTGTTTTTTTGCTGAGATTATTATGAGTATAATGTAGGGTAAATCAAATGAGTTCCTGTGTGATACTCTTATTTGTATCATTTTTGGTATCAAGAACTGAGATTCTCAGCTTGGGATAAAGGAGGTATGGATATGAAATAAGAGACCATTGTGACCCAATAGGCTTGAATTGCATTAGAAGTGTATCAGAGTATATCAGTATAGACTAATGTAATTCACCGTGTCAGTAAGCTGAAGAAAAAGTCATAAAGTGATCTCAATGCATACCATGAAGTATTTAACAAAATTCAACACCTATTTATGAAAAAACTCAGCAAACTGGAAATTAGAAAATGGGCAAATAATATGAAGTCTCATTTCAGCAAATACATTTGTTAAATAAACACATGAAAAGATGTTCAATATCATTAGCCTTTCAGAAAATAATTTAAACATGCAGTGAAATATCAAAATGGGTAAAATGAAGAATAGTGACAACACTGAATGCTGATGAAGATGTAGAGAAATTAAATTGCTCATATATAGTAATATATATACTATATATATAGTGGGATGCAAAATGGTACAGCTGCTCTGGAAAACAGCTTGGTAATTTCTTATAAAACTGAATGTGTGACTACCATTGAACCCAGCAGTATACTACTGGGCATTCATCTTAGGTGTTTATCACAGAGAAATAAAAGTTACTTACATCATTCAAAAACCTGTTCATAAATGCTCACAGAAGCTTATTTATAATAGCTCAAATCTAGAAACAGGGGGCTGGGGATTTAGCTCAGTGGCAAAGCGCCTGCCTGGCAAGCGCAGTCGTGAGTTCGGTTCCCGGTACCGGAGAAACCCCCCCCCCCACACAAAAAAAAAATCTAGAAACAATACAAGTGTCCTTTAATGAGTCAAACTTTCATGCCATGGATACTACTCAGCAATGAAAAGGAAGGAACTATGGATATACACAAAAATCTAGATGATTCTCTAGGAATCACATCAGGTTAAAAAAAACAATCCTAGAAGGTTAATACTTATGATTACATTTGTATAATATTTTTAAATGTTAAAATTCAAAAAGGAAGAACAGATTAGTAGGAACATATGATTATCACTTCTCAGCCTTTTGGCTAAGATCAAGTGTAGTATGTGTTCTTATCAGTAGGAACATATTAGTAGGGGCTATAAAGAAGGAAGATCTTTCTGATGTTCTGTATCCTGACTGTATCAACATCAGTATCCCAAATGTGATTTTTAAAAACTCGTTTGTTCTCTTGTTTTCTGTCAGGATCTGATTGTATTTTATGATGAAGATCCAAAACCATCCTTGCCAAAAATACCTCCTTCTGTTATCTCTCCAACGACATGGTTGTCAGATGGGGAAGTGGAAGTCTCCACCCTCTGTGACACAGGTAATTTGGCCCATGGATATGAAGTTAACTCAGAAACATAAATAAGAAACACTGAGCAGGGATTCTGCACAAATAAAAGACTTTATTTTGGGAAATATAGCAACAGTTGACTTTTATTTAACATTGATAATGAGGAATAAAGAGTAGTGTAGATAAACTCAACTCTTCTATGGTCCTATATTTTTATTTTCCCATTTGTTTTAGTATTTTTTCCCCTTTTACTTTTTTTTTTTTTTTGTTATTTTGTTTCTAACGTAATCACAGCCGTTAAGTTGTTAAACAAAAGGTTAAAATGGAAGATTTATTTCACTGTATTTTTATTAACTTCTTTTTGATAGATGTATGACATCTTTCAAAAGCAGGCATTAAGCAAGCATGTAAAAAAGCAAGGAGCATATTGTCTGTTCCACAAACAGCTACACCATCTCTTGAATAATTAACAGTAGAGAAAGGCACAGTGTGAAAAGGTACAGCATTGGCGTCCAGTAAATTACACTATTGAACTGGGCTCTGCTGCTAGTCAAGATCCTCTAGGATCTGATTTCTAGTTGAGGCACTCCATCCTGGCCTTATTGTCCTCGAACTCTGAATTCACAATCCATTCTTCTCTTGATTTTCTCAGAAAGTAGGGTGGGAAGTCTTACGCTGAGATGAGAAGGAAATGGTCTCATTAGTATCTTTCATCCTCTCCTGTGTCACTGCTTTTACATCCATCCGGGATCCTTTCTCTCATCACAGAAGTGGCTCCTTACGTTTTGAGTTTCATCTCCCTCCTCTTGGACCATGCACCTCAGGATTCCCCCCTAAATAGAGTCACAATATCCAAAATATACAAGCTACAGTATGTTAGTATAGAATTTACAAGTTCATGTAAAAATTTTTTACAAAGCCAGTTGTGAGAACAGTGAGGATATTTTGACAAAGACAAAAACAAGAAATTGGGGGTTTTGGTCATATAGGTATAAAGATGTCATTCATATGGATATTTAGTAATAAATGGTTAGAATTTCACCAGTTTTTTTGGTAGTCTTATAATGTACTTCAAGTAAACAGATCCTAAATCCAAAAGCTTGAAAGAACAGAAAGGAAAACTTTTGTATCTAATGTCGCGTAACTTTTTTTTCCCTCCTAACATTTTTAAAAATAGACTTTCTTTTTGAGAGCAGTTTTAGATTCACTGAAAAATTGAATGGAAAGTACAGAGTTCCCATATGCCCAGATCCCCACACATGCATAGCATCTCCACCATCGGTATTCTGCCCAGAGTGGTACATTTGTTACAGTTAATGAACTTATATCGACACCCCATTGTCACTCTAAGTCTCTAGTGTACATTAGAGAGTTCACTGTTGGAGTTGTACATTATGTGGGCTTGAACAGATGACATACATACACTATTAAACTATTGTACGGAGTAGATTCCTCCCCGCTAACCTCCCCCCTTTCCAGTACATTATACACATGGAGCCTTTCAGATTGGTTTCTTTCACTTAGTAATCTGCATTTAAGACTCCTCTGTGTCTTCAGGGCTAGGTAGTTCATTTCTTTTTAGTGCTGAATAGGATGGTATACCACAGTGTTCTTCATTCACCTACTGCAGGACATCTTGGTTGCTTCCAACTTTTGGCAGTTATGAATAAAGCTACTTATAAACATCTGAGGCAGGTTTTGTATGAACAGAAGTTTTCTCCCCACCATTTTAATACAAGTGAAGATGAGCTTCAGGGGCAACTGAAAAGAGGAAAAAAGTCGCAAAACATGTTGCCTGAGGGATGCTTCCAGTTTGACTTGGCCAGAACCCATCTTTATCAGAGGGGGTTTTCTCCAGTCTCTCCTTGGCATTGGTCTCAGAGATATCTTGCTAAAATGCAGATTTTTGCATTTCATTTCCCATCTTACGAACTTTCAACAGTTCTCCATTGCCAGTAGGATGAGTTTGATTTTTTTCACACTGTCACAACATTCAGAGGCTAATCCCAGCCAGTCTTTCTGGCCTCATCACCCAAAACTACCAAATACTGACAATGTCCTGTGATGCTCCCTTACTTGTGTAGTTTCTTCTCTTTGGAATGTCTTTGTTCCAGTTATTTTAGCTGTTTAACACATTGCCATAGAAGTTTGTTGTACAAAATAATGATTTATTGTGTTCATGGATTCTCTGGGTCAGGAATTAGGACAGAGAACAGTGGGGATGGCTTGTCTTTCCTCTATGAGGTATATCTGGGCTTCAGCTGGGAACTCGGGCTGAGGCAGGAATTATCTGAAGGCCTGTACACTCACAGGTCTGTAGTTGCCACTGGATATTGACTAGGGCCCTAAGTGCCTCTCCATGGGGGCCCTTCCATGTGATCTTTTACACATGGGCTGGTTTGGGCTTCCTCACAACATGGCGGCTGGGTTGCTAGTGTGAACGACCTGGGGAAGCAAGGACCCAGCAGAAGCTGAATAATCTTGAAAGTCATGCTGTGGTGTTCCTTCCTCCACACTGTGTTCATCAGTCAGTAACAAAGTGTCATATTGGATGAAAACCATGTTGCATAGGATGTATGTAGATAGAATCTTTGGAAAATATATTCTTCTACCAAATATTAAACACTTGACAAAATCCTATTCAAACAGGAAGGTCCAGCAAAAATGTCATAGTACTATAAAGTCTTTTGATACACTTACTTCTCCTTTCACTATGTTTCCACAGGATTTTTCTTATACCTCTATTACAGAATTTATAAATTTGTATAATAATTTTATAAATTGTATTTACTTTATAATTATGTAAGTTATAATTACATAGTTATATAATTATATGTTATAATTGTATTATTATAAAAGTCTATAAATCAATAAGTCAATATAATCTTATTTTAATTTTTTGAGTTATTTAATCTATGAGAGTCTAACCACTTAACAGTTTACCCTAAGTATCACTTGGGTAACATGTTTGTTTACATACTGGCTATCCCAAGTGTTGCTCAGGCAGGTATCATTTCAACCAGTAGATTCTTATATTGAATAAATTTAATAAAATTGTCATTTTTATATTTCCTCTTATTTTATAAAATTTAACAAAAAACATCCAATTTTTGGTCATCCTGTGTCTTGGTTACTTTTCTGTCATTGCTAGGACAAAATACCTGACACCCAAAATTGAGGAAGGAAAGGTTTATTTAGCTCACAGTATGTAGAGGTTTTTGTGGAGTCCATAATCAGCTGGATCCATGGCAGAGTGGCACATGGCAGAGGGTAATAGTTCATGGCCTTGGAAGACAGCAAAAGCAACTAGAGCAAAAAGACAGGAGTGCAGAGAGCAAACCTCTTTCCCTCCCTTATATTGTATGCAGGCTATCCGCCCCAGGGTGAGTGTAGCACTTACACCCATAATCCCAGCATTGGACCATGAATCACTCAAAAACTATAGAAGACTGCATGAGGCTTTGAGGGGACATCTAGACACAAACCATAACATCCTGTATTTCAATAATTGAACTATAAGTAAAGTACTTATAAATGGTTTTAGATGGGGCAGTCAGTTATCTCACAGCACTTACTGACTAGTTGATTTTCGGTGTTATCTTGAAATTACTTTATAAGCTGTATTTTTAAAATTATCTTTTTAACAACTCTCTTTTGTTCTATTGATCAATTTTTCTGTTCCTAATGTAATTTTTTGCAACTATTATAATACTATGCCATCATATTAATGTTTTCTATTTTACTTCACTTATATTATGTCAGTGATCATTTAGCTATGTATTTCCATATTTTTACTGTTATATAAACAACAGTGTAGTAACATCATTTTCGCCCTTTCAAATAAAGTAGGCTTTTATTTATGTTCTTTTGTGATTTGATGCAGACTCTAAAATACATTATTCTGAATTTCTTTTGATAAATTCTGTCCAGTTCACTAACTTATCCTGTCAACAGATGGTTCTGATTTCCATGTTCTGATTTTGGCAACTTCAGCCCAAGGCAAAAATAAAGTAAGAAAGTTATTCTGGTACGGCATCTTTAGTTCTCTTTTTCTCTCTTGTCTTTGTCTTTCCAGAGCATGCAGTACTGCTGGCCACACCATGGACTGCAGTAGGTGGGGCCTTCCTCCTTACGTACTCGAAATTTGCTTCCCAGAGCCCACCCTTGCCTTCAGCCAGAGGCCATTCTTTAAGTTTTGTCCCCTTTCTTCTTTGCTTTTCTTTACAGTTTTATTACATATATTTTGTACTCTAAAAATATATTTGTTTCATAGGCTCTTGAACTTTATACAAATAGTTATTCTGAATTTATTTTTCCAATCTCCTTTTATCACTCAGTATTATATTCCTAAGTTCCACTTATGTGTATATAAGGTTGTCATTTGTTTTCCCTACTGCATAGTATCTTACTGCATGTCTATACTTGCTATGGTGTAGTACTGTCATCAGTACTACATGTCAAGTTTTTTATATTGCAGAGCAGTACTGTTTATGAACTTGTACATTTACACAAGACTGTTGCTTCTTATTGACAAGAATTCTGTAGGACATGGGGTCGGGGAGATAGCTCAGTGGCACAGGCACCTGCCTGGCAAGTGCAGGGTCCTGAGTTCAATTCCCTGTACCAAAAAAAAAAAAAAGAATAAGAAGAATTCTGTAGGACATATATTTGGGAGTGAAATTCCTATGTAGTTAGATGTGAGCACCTTTATATTGATCAGGTAATGCAGTTGTTTTCCAAAGTTTTAGTTGGTCCATGTCCTCACTAACCCTTGTTCTTGTTATTTTTGAAAAGCTGCCAGTCTGGTGGGTGAAAATTGGTATCTTATTTATTGAAATAAAATGGAACATATTTTCATATGTTGAAACATTTTATAGGTGTGACTCATTCATGATTCCTCATCTGTGAAATGTCTGTGATGTCTTTTGGCCATTTTTTTCTGTTTGGTTGTCTTTTTCTTAATTGATTTGTAGGAATTTTTATTCTGAAACTAAGCACTCCATGTTGGGAGTTTTTTCCACTTTATAACT